GCCTTTGTCGAGAAGGTCATCGAGTTGTGCGCGAAGCACCTCGAGTTCCTCTTCGCTCATGCGGTAAATGCATCCACGCAGAGGGACGGCACCCGCCTCGAGAGTAATCCCGTGACGTATGGACCGATCCGGAACCGTTCCGGTGGGAGCCTCGAAGACGTCTCCATATCCGTCTAAGAGGTGGGTAATACGTGGGTTCGGCGGCGACGCGGCTGGTCCGTCCGGCGAGGCGAGGGCATGTAAGAAAACAAGGCCCATCTCCTCGACGTCGTTCCGAGCTATGCCGTCGCGAATCGTCGCAACGGAAACCACGTGACAAGCAATCGAAGTGTGAGGGGTCGCGACCGTACATGGGACTAACACTCCGTTTCGATCACGTATGTGAATGGTTCGGTCATGAAAGTTGACCGGATGATCGACGCTACGCAACCAAGACATGCCTAGAATCATGTCAAACATGGTGTCGAGGATGTCGAAAGACACCGGCTCGCACGCAAGGGGCGCAAAGTATACCGGGACGCCGTCAACGCATCGGTCGATCGACTTTTGCGTGCGGCCATCCGCGAGTGTAACTTACGTAGGGTGCGTCTTCCTTCGAACGCGCGGGCCAAGGCGCGGGCCATAAAGGCTTGGCTCATGAAATTGCGAGATGCTCCGCAATCAATCAAGCCACTGCAGGTTGCCTTTCCGATTTGAATGCGGATATAGAGCAAAGGCGCGTCGGTACCTCGACTAGTCTTTCGCCCCTATACCCAAGTCCGACGAACGAGTTGCACGACAATATCGTTGCAAGCCTAGATCAGAGTTTCCCCTAGCCTTACTCTGCAAAACATGGTACACCTCTTGCTGGTCCCTACAAACATACTCATACTGCGACCCTGGATCCATGCTACAGTATCTCTGCGAGCCTCCACCAAGGATTTCCTCTGGGCCCTGCCAGTGCCAGACGGCGTGCTAATCCAGGCACCACGAACAGTGCTCACTGATATAGACCGTAGGACGGTGGTTATGAGAATAAAAATCTGCTACGATGTGTCTACCAACTCACCTGTCACCGAATCAGTCAGTCCCTATATATAGATAGCGTCGGGGCGAGCATTTGGGGCGACCAGTCTGTGCTCAGCCATCATGGAGATTCCAACGCTGCTCCGAGTATGAGAATACTGGGCTCGCCGCGACGCCCACACCGTGAGCTCAAGCGAGGCGGTTTCTGGTGTAGATCTTGGTGGTAGCAGTGAATTTTCAAATGGGAACTTAAAAGACCGCGGTGGAGGAGGGATCCATGTTCACAGCCTACGCACACAGTACCACCTCGTGCTCATCCTTGGTGCCCTGAGCGGCCCCGCCCAGGCACAGTCCTGCTCCTTTTCGGGTCCCGACACGTATACTCACACTCAAACCTCTTGCAGCAAACTCGCGGCTGGTGGATGGTACGCCCACGAAGGGCCTGCGCCGCCCAGGTTTTCTTCCGCCTCGGCTAGTCACCCACTGGCTTGCATGCACATTAACTTCCTCGGCCCGCGCTTCAGGATGGTGGGACCGAGGACCCTCACGAGCATCCCGAATACTCAAAGAACCCAGAAGTCAACGAGGAGGAGGTGTGTGTTCAAGGTCCTCGACCGCCGCGACGACCTTCAAATCCCACGTCCCGGCTGCGTCAGAGAGCACCGGAGCAAAATAATAATACGTCTGCAAATAAAAATGTTTAGAAACTTTTGATCATCAAAATATGATGAATAAGGAACAAGAAAATGCTAGCACCGTTCTGGCGCCGCCAACAGCAAAATCAAAGGGGATAGCCCCTCTGGGCCCTCAATCCCTCGGCTCCTTCACGCTACTCTGATGTCCCCATGTCGTCGTCGCTCGTTCTCGATCGCCGAATCTCTCCGATAAGGGCCCGTGACCGTAACCAACAGCGATAGGCCCAAGGTTGCGTCTAGCTTTGACAAATACCTAAATTAACCGATACCGTGCGATGCGCAGACCTACCGAAACGTTCTCAAAGTTACGTTGTTTGTTGATGCCGTCCTCCGCACCTACACCCAAGTCACAGCCAAGCGCATCAATCAATAGACCAAATCTTTTTAATCCTAATTTAATCAGAAGTAAAAGTTTGGTCGAGTATCACGCCGACTCTTTAATCATCAACAAATAAAAATCATGCGCGCCTCAAGCCTGCGATCTCACACACTCTCTACTCTAGTCAACCATCCAGCCCACGTAAATCACAAACGCAGTCGCGCCTCGCGCGGTATACTTAAACTTTAAACTAAACCTATTTCCTGTTGCTTGCAAAAACCAGGGCGGATACCCTTGTAAGGGTATTCGCATCGACATCGCACCATTTAAAAATTAATTAAATTCGATTAAATCAATTAAATTTGTTTAAATTAATTAAATTCATTTTAAATCTATTTAAGAATTAATTAAATTCGTTTTAAATCTATTGAACAATTAATTAAATTTGTTTAAATTAATTAAATTTGCTTTAAATCCATTTAAATTTTAAATAAATTCATTTTAAATCCATTTAAAAATTAATTAAATTCGTTTAAATTAATTAAATTTGCTTTAAATCCATTTTTAAAATTAATTAAATTAGTTTTTAATCCATTTAAATTAATTACATTCGTTTTAAATTCATTTAAAAGTTATAAAATTAAGACCTAGGGAGACATCCCGGGCGCCTGGGTCCCGATGTCACGCCCGGATTGGCGACCGGGTGACCGGCCGGGCATGACCCCTGGGCATGGCCCCGGGCAGCCTCAGCGCAAAAAAAAAAAAAAAAAAAAAAAAA